CAACGTTTGCCGTCTCCTATAAAATAACCCATACAACGGCATTTTCCTTCCACACAAGCTGCCTCTTTATGACAGTCTTTGCTCGTTTTGCATGACGGCGGGTCCGCTGGTTAAAAGGAAAACATAAGACAAAATGATCTAACAAAATAAGTGAACCTTAATTATTTGATTCGAATTATCAACGCTACTTAGAATTAAAAAATAATGTGCTGCACGGCAGAATTCTGCAGATATCTTTCAGTGACTTAATTGCATCCTCGATCCCCAGGAGTTCACTATCCATTTCTGATCCAAGGAGGGGAGGAGATGGGCATAAGGTCTTTGTACTCCTTTCATCAGCACAACACGATAGGGGTGGCCCGAAAAGCCGGAACGGCGGAAAATTACCCCAATTCCTGAAAGACGGAACGGCGGAAAATTACCCAAATTCCTAAAGACGGAACGGCGGAAAATTACCCCACATCCCAATGGACGCAACGGCGGAAAATTACCTAAGATCCTAAAAGACGGAGCGACAGAAAATTACCCCAAATCCTAAGAGACGGAACGGTCGAAAATCATCCCAAATCCTAAAAGACGGAATAATGGTACACACTTCCCACTCATTCTTGTCTTTTCCTTTGCTATATCATAGCGGTGTTCTGGTCGTGAACGTAAGTGAGTGAGATCCCTTTTTTCCCCTCATGATGATAACTTCCGCGGAAATGAAATATTCAAAAAATCATCTTTCCTCGTAATGTGTAACATTATGTTGGCTGTTCAGTTTGTTTGAGATGATTTTGTGGTTGTCGAGGTATTTGCTGGGCTAACAGGCTGACCCGACTTTTGCTGTTTTCGTGGTTAGGCTATTTTCGAGGTAGCTGACCTTCAGACCTTTGAGACCTTTTAAAGCATGCCTTTAAATGATTTTCCCCCTTTTACATGAAACTATCGGAAGCTCTTTAAAAATTTTCTGAAGCTTTGGTTGCTTCTCCGTAATTTGCCAGTTGCTCAATAAAATCTTTTTCAAGGCTGATCACTGATGGGTTATATTGTGTAACAAAAGGCAATGTGGTTAGTTGCACTCTGTATTTCTCCTGGAGTGTTGTTTTCCTGTCCATGAAATCAACCTCTGTGAGAATTCTTTCAATTAGATTATTTAGGTAAAGGGGTAAGTTTCGAAAGAAACTGTGGTGATGGGTCGGTGGGAGAGTATAGCAGGTAATTTAGTGTTAACAACTGAGTTGAAAACGTAAATTGGCCACCGTAAAGAGTAAGAAGCTGACGTTTCGAGCGTTAGCCCTTCGTCCGGAGCGATCGAGCGTCAGAGCGTCAGATTATTTGGATAGCCCCTTTAGCGTAATCGCGTCTTTGAGTGTCTGATGTTCTCTTCATTGATTTTTTTTTTAAATTGAGGTTTCTCTTATGTAAATGGCTTCCTAAAATCCGTGTATCTCTATCGCCTGGTTAACATAACACAAGTTTTCTGTTTACAGGGCGTAGCCCCCACCCAAAGGAAAATACTGTATTCACCGTTCCGTCGTTTAGGATTTGGGGTGATTTTCCACCATTCTGTCTTTTAGAATATGGGTAATTTTCCGCCATTCTGTCATTCCGCCCTTCCGCCGTTTAGACCCAACTAGAGATCGAAACCACGTGTCTCCGATCCGGAGCTTGGCAAGTATCAAATGAAGTAAACAAATTAGCGTGCAGTGCAGGCGTCTTATCTGGGCGCGTTAACTTTTAAGAAACTCGAGATCGTTTATGCAACCGGCCATGTTTGATTTGGAGATAGAGACAGCAGGATGGAGAAGGGGAAGGGGGGGGGGGGGGGGGGCCTGGAAAAGGGGAAGGGGGGGGCCTGGAAAAGGCGAAAAGTAATATTCACTCCGCCACCCACAACCCTCTCCTCATTTGTGACCGTCACTCACCCCCCTGGCACAAATTATTTTCTCTTCTCAGCCTACCGCTGCCATTAAAATCAAAGATGGCGGCCATACTTGCCACAGAGGATATTAAGCACTCGCTCGCCAAAATTACGCCCGCTCTGAAGGCTATAAACAAATAGGTCATTACCAATTTTGCAGCTATATGCATCTCCGACCAAGCCATCCTTACACTGGCATCTCTTGTTTACGCATTTGTGACTTTTTAGACAACCTTTGTCGTTGTCGCATGTTCCTGTTTAAAGGGAAAAAAACGATGTTGAAATGATAAGCGACGCTTTACTGGCCATGATAACAATTGTGGCGGCCTTGAGTAGCATCCGAGACCTTCGGGCTCAGTTTTTCCCAATACTGACCTCCCGCTTGGTGATTAATATATGTTGCCCGTGATTTACATGAAAAAAAAGGAGTAAAAAATGAAATATGAGGGAACAATAGCGCGCGCAAATGTCTCGTAAACTTTTACATTACGTGTGCAATGTCGTAATAGTGCCCAAATTGGCTGTTGATGACCTAATATTGTTAGTCAATTTTTAAACCGGAATTTGATCAATATCAGAGAAGTCACACGTTATCCGTTTCTCTGGTTTGTTCTTGCTCTCGTGTTAGAAAAACATCCGTTTGGAGACGAAGTTTTCTCGAGCAACGCTTCAGTTGAGTTCAGTGATTTTCACATTACGTCATGGCAAGAGCTCGTTGAAACCGTTAGAAGGAAGTTTTCACGAGAGTAATTTTTCTTTAATTCAGTATTAGCTATTTCGATCTAATGTTTCAAAACACTGCAAGAGAAAAGCAAACATGACTCTCCTAATAATCTATTAAACCATGGGCTC